CCAGCCTGCACGACAGGTTACAGAGACATCAAATACACACATCTGCACAGAAGTTGTCATGCTTGCACACTTCAGCCTCGCTCCTGAAGCCTGATAGTGTTTCTGGTCATCCCTTTGTAAGGAGACATCATTCTACTGTTCAAAACCTTGAGATAGCAGCCAGGTAGGGTGGCATAAATCTGCTCCAAAAAGCTCATGAAGGTCTCACATTTTAAACTATTTTATCACCTCATAAACCTGCCCTATTCTTTAGCAATAGCTACCACACAGCCCCCTACCCAGAAGCCAGCTCAGAATAACACTGCAAAAACATCAGTGCTGCAGTTACTGTGCAATGTGTTATTTAAGTTAATATTATGGTGTAAGGCTGCAAAATGAACCATTTTCTGTGCCAGTGACGCAGCACAGTAACTTCTAAATAAAAGAGCTAAACCTAGCAAATGGAAAACCTTCCTCCAAACGCTATTATTTCAGAACAGAAAGGTCACTCTACAACTGCCTCAACATATAAAAATACCCTGGTTGTTTAGAAATTGGCAGAAGACTCCTAACACAGTTTAATTTTGCAGGATGTCATCTCAAAAAGTGGTCTCTGTTGTAAAAAAAAAAACCCAGCTTACTGAAGAGGGGGCAGATGTCACTTTACTTCACAAGGCCACACAGTTACAGCCAGCAGGCATAATGGGAGAGCACCCCTTATACTTGCTAACTTTAGCACAGAAGAGACAGGAGGGCTAGTTTCCCTCTGCTAACACCCTCACACATATTCTCCTGTCTCAGCCTGATAAGTCCTTTATTATTTTTATGAGTAATCTTCATTAGCATGTCTAATAATCATCACTTCAGGGCACTGCTTATCTGCAAAACATTGTTCAAGCAATTAAAACTAAGTATTGATAATTGATGGAAGGAAACAGGGCAGGCTAAGGAGCTACTCGCTATCTGATAACAGGCAGTGTGCACTGCTGGCTGCTGATGACACTGATTCCCAGGACACGGTTGTCTACCCATAGTTCATACAGGGTTGTGTGCAGAGCAGATCCTCCCCTCCCCAACAGGCTCTGTGACAGGCTATGCTGAACACATCTTACCTCCTTACACTGTAAAAATAAATATATTAAGCAGTTTTTCTTCATCAGAAATAGCTATTTCTGCTCATAATTCCTAACTACTCTGTGCCAAGATCACTCCTAGTTTTCACTTACAATGTAGGCATTACAATGGGATAAAAAATTTTCATCTTTTCGTGAAAACCACGAATAGCAGTAAAATACTAGACCTCCTAGTTTGTACATGGAAAAAAAAACTTCTTAAGTTATATGAATTAAGGGTAGCAAAGACACTACTCAAACATTCCTCCTCCCAGACATGCCTCAACACTGAAACAGTGACTGTGACAGCCGCGCACAGAAAGAGAGGAAAACTCCCTTGGGGCTAATTTGTACAATTGCTCATTACTGTACCTCTGATGCTGATTATGAATGTTTCTCTCTCAATTTAATATAAGCTGAAAGCGAACTAACTGTTCGCAACTTTTTTTTTCCCTACCATCACAGAAATGATACAAAATCACGATAAAACCAGGGTTTCCCATCAGCTCTCTACCACCCATCAAGTACAGAATCGCACGTGCATCTGTCTTGTACAGGCACATACACCAAGAAAATCCAAACTCAAACTCAGAATCAAATCTCAAACTTCCAGTGCATTTAACAGCACATTTATTGAGAGCGCAGCCTGGCAGCGCACCATCCCTCCCGCAAGTAATCCAAGTAATCCACCCCCACGCGTCCTCCAACGCAGCCGTCACAGCTGACTCCCGAGCACGCCGCTGGGGACCGGCCCGGGCCGGAAGGAGGAACCGCCGCAACGGCTCGCCCCACTCCCGCCGGGGGTGCAGGGCTCGACGACTTCCGGCAGGCGGCCCCATCCTGCTCTAAGGCTGCTACATGCCAGGTGGTGGAGGAAGCACGCACGGCAGGGATGCTTCTCCTGCTCCCTCAGCACTGACCCATGCCATGGGAAGCTTACAGTTCCCTTCCTCCACCTAAGTGTGAGTGAACTTTCTCCAGCTTTTCTCCCACTGCACCCGGTGCTGACAGAGAAGGTCCATGCGGACACAGTGTAGGCTCAAAAACCTTATATAAAAGAATCATGAAACTCCATGCTTGACACGCTTCCTGAATTAAAACACACAGGGATAGGACTGATATAAACTCAAGCATTAGCTTTTTAAAAGATGGATTAACAGGTTGTTACGTATTTTAAAGAGAGGAGATCACACAGAACCTTGAACATCCATGCCTGGCCAGTGCTTGCTGATACTTAATATTTTCCAGCACTGAAGACAAAGACCACACAATGAAAACTAGGGGCCTGGAGACATACCCTTGCCATCAGCCGCACCCACCTGGCAGGTGCAGAAATAAGAATGAACATACTGTAATTGCACTTGCAATTGCTTCTCCAAGACAAAATTAAAGTTGTCCTTATAAACTTAATTCCACCCCTTATAGTGCATATTTAATTAACTTTAATCTCAAATAAGAACCACAGGATCCTTACCTGAGGAGCCTTAAGTAGATAAACTCTGAGGCAATCTGCTGAAAGGAAGCAGAATACAGAAGGTGGCATCTCCTGGAGGAAACACCAGCCAAGCTGAGCACTAACATACCCTGAACACATGCCAGATGTCCCGCCATCAGTGTTCACCCCCATCAAGCAAGCCCATCTGGGCAGACATCCACTCTTCCTTACCTGGGCAGTGTTGTACCGCACAGCCCCAGCACTCCCCACACACAGTGGTGTGACACAACATTTCACAGCTTCTGTGAGGCAAACCCCAGGCAAGGAGAAGCCACAAAGACCCTGAGGTACATTCATACTGCTCACTTTCACACCCTTCCTGTTCTCCCAGCTCCCCTGAAGTCCCCAAGGGTAACCTCGCCTGAAGCTCCTTCAGGAGCGAATCCTAGCTCACTCTCCTCTGCAACACCAGAGTTCAGGGCTCCCCCTTCCCAGGGCACTGCTCCCCGCTCTGACCCTGCAGTGGTCGCTTGGCTCAACCACACCCTGCGGTTGAGGGTGCTTGTAAGATAAAAAGGTTAAAGCCTACTAACAGCAGAGCTCCTGAAAACCTCTGGAAACTTTTTCTGGATGTGGATCCTTTCTCCAAATGAATATGCAAAATGTGGAGAAGTATCAGAAGTGATCCCAACACAAGGGGCACCCACACATATCTGTGGTGTGTACAGTTCAAAACACAAGGCTCATCAGATTTAGAGGGGGGAGCATCTTACAGTTTAGACAGTGGTTTTTTCCCAGTTTTGTACTTAGAAATTATTTAATCATTTTGGTGAAATTCCCACCCATATCTACACCCCTTCCCTCCCTTGCACCACCCCCAATCCCAGGAGTCAGCCACAGCAGGCAGGCATCATGGAAAATTTCACATTAAAAAAAAAAAAAAAAAAATCAGCAAAATTTAAACAGCCAAAAATAGAGCTTTAAGACAAGAAGTGTACAGCAACCTTAACTACAGCAAAATCTACCACCTGCATCTGTAATTTATGAACTAAAATGGCCTTTTAAAAATTAGCCATAGACCAGGGAAGACGATGACACTGAACTGCAACAAAACCCAAATACAGCTCAGTAGACTCATGTTCTCTTATTTCTTCTCCTCCTGAAACAGTGCTGCAGGAAGCGTAGACCATTTCTCAGTAAATGTTTCCCTAAACATCACTTTGTCTTTTTAGACCTGGGAAAGTTTTCCGAGCTTTAAACTGACTCTACAGAAAAGGGAAGACATACACAGAAAAAAACTGACTGGATGATACATTTCAAGGGTCTTGTTTGGTTGGTTTTTATTTAGTTGGTTGGGGGGGGGGGGTGGGGTGTGTGTTAAAAAGAAAAAAAAAAAGAAAGAAAGAGAAACACAAGTATGGCAAGATCAGTTTCGCATGATGAGCATAACACCAAAAAAAAAGCAGTCCATGTTCGCTCAAAACCAAACACGGGATCATTCCAGATTATTAAGATTTGCAAACATTTGACAAATATGGTCTGAACTTTAAGCTTCTGACTAAGCATAAAACCAGACATTCTTAACTTGTTTCCTCATAAAGCTCTGATACATAGTCCGTAAATTCCTATGGATTCTCAGCTACGACCAAGTGGTAACATTCAGCGGTTTCAGTATCGCTGTTGGTACCTCAACCCCTAGCCTCCTGTTAGGCATTTTCTCCTGGTTTAACAAAAATAAATATATAAATAAAACCAGTTTAATTATAATTATTTCCCCTTTTACTAGTGCTTGGCAAATGTCCCATGGTTTAGAATTTTAATTGCTCTCTGTAGAATCCCTGTGTGCCTTTAAATCTGCAAATTAGGTTACAAGCCTAGAAAAAACACTCATGAAATTTCCAAAAGATGGAATTTCATGCAGGAATATTACAATGAATAAGGACCAACTACACTGCAAAATCCTGACTGCAGAGAGATTATAAATTTAAGACATAGGGGGGAACAGAATTTCAGACTTTTAAAAAATAAAAGCAAAGAAGCTACCACTGTGATGTCACACACCCACAGCTCCTGGTCAGGAATCTGAGACTAACCTGATGAAGCTTTAGGAACTACATGAAAAGTCCCTGTGCTGGGGCTTACAAACCACCCATGTCTTATCACCCTTACATCTGTGAACACATGATAAACACCCAAACCTTCAGGCTTGAGGTTAGCAGAAAGGAGTGAAACCTGCACTACCTTCTGGTCTGCTTGATATCAGTCAACCATTCCCATCAGCTCTCCGATGTGGACAGGTCAAGCAATTCTGACCACTTTCTCTCCACAAAAACATATTCTGACTCATAATAACCCATGCTATAACAATACATGCTACCAGCCACGTTATCATGCATAATCCAGCTCTTTCACAGCCACCTTCCTCCCCATCAATCCCCACTCCATCTTGCACAGCACTGCATGCCCAAGGAGCAGCTCCCAGATGCAGGACACAGGTAGAGTATGAAGCAGGCACTGCCCTCAGCATGCCTCCCACCCCACCACCACCTCCTGCTTGAGAAACAGGAAAAGCGGTCTCTCTGGGCTGTTCCGTGAACACTCGCATTTTTCTGACACATCTCTTTTAGGTAACTTCCACATTATTTGAATGCTGGTTTTAACTGCGTCAATCAGCACATTTAGAAACCACAGGCACATCTTAAAAAACACCAGACACAGCCAGAGGAAAAGATTAACACTCTACTGGACTGCAAGAGCAGTCTCCAAGTGACATCAGACCTTTGTAGGCTAATGCTCAGAAGACCCCAGAGACTGCTAAGACAGGTATGTGCTTTTAGTCTTTGTTCCAGCCTTCCTAGATCTGCATAAATACATAGCCTGAAATACTAACTATGACAACTGTGTAGAGTCAGGCTCAGGTATTTAGCAAGACAGCCCATGCTTTGCCTGTAGTCAGTGTCACTTGGCTACGCTCCCACTCTACCCTCGGAGGCCCCAGTTCCAGCAGGATTTCAGAGCTCAGTTTGCTGGGCTGCCTCTTCACCCCATGAAGGTCGAGCAGGGCTGCACTGTGCCACAGTGCAGGAAGCTCCCACTGCCTTGGACAGCAGCAGCTAGCCCCCAGCATCAGCAGCGCTGCCTGCTCCTCACCTACACTGCACAGACCCAGGCTTAATTCAACTCTTGCCATGTTTTCAGGGCAACAGAGACAACCTGTGGAAAGCCATCTGCAGGAAACAAACTAACTGTTTTGTCCCCCATTTTACAGTACTGGAGTATCTGCAATCATTTTGGTTTACGAATCATTCACATCTGGATATGTATTTTATAGCAGAAAATAAATGTGCATATGTAGTTCTTTTGTGTACTAAATTAGGAACAATATAATGAAATAAAAAACTGTTGCAGCCTGATGCTATGCAAGACATAAATGCACTGGTTTTCATTACAAGAAATTCTAATGAATGCACCATGCCTCCTTTTCCACAGACATTCCACACAGCAGCCTGACAGTGTAGCAAACAAAAAAAAAATCCCCTCAGTCATGGAGTAGTATATTTAATAAAATAGGACCAAAATTTTTTACTTCCCTATAATTTCAAGTGAAGCCTAAAAAAGGAGGTAAGCAAAATTATTTAATAGCTGCTTCTTTCAAAAAGCGCTATTTTTTAAAGACTTCCTAAAAATAAGCAATTAATTTATCCTCTGTTCAAATAGGAAGAGAGTGCAATTTGCAAAATTTAGGACTGATTAGAACTATTTGCTCACCTATCTGACGTATCCATATATTGGCTTGACAGTGCATTAACTTAGAAACTCCTAGTACTTTTTTATAGGACAAGACTGCTACAAATCTTACCCTTTTTTAAGCCTAGTTTTAACTGTTCAAAAGTTCTTAAGTTTTAGTATGACCATTATTAACCAGATGCTTAATTTTAAACAGATTCAAGCTTTTATTTTGGTGGTTTGGTTGGAGGAGGGGAAGGAGGGCACTGTTGAACCAAACATACTGAACTAAACACCCACTCAGAAAGACTACTCTAGTAGTTTGTATGCTTTTATGAACAAACCCTAACATGTTTCTAAACTTTTCAAGAACAAAACCCTCTTGAATATCTGTGAAGCAGCATGAAGAGAGAGAAAAATATTTCTTCCAAATTGCATTTTTTCCATTAATCATACAATATTCCCACTCTCAGGAAAAGTTGATGTCATTGACATTGTCTTGGTTCTCTTTGCAGGTTCTTGAGATCCTCTAGCAGCAAAACCAACTCGCACAAGTTTACAATGTCAAGCAATGTTTCACAATGCCACGTTGTTGAAGAAATGGAACCTTTTACCTATTTTTACTACTTGATTTTTCTCATGGGATTTATTGGAAGCTGTTTTGCACTATGGGCATTCACACAAAGAGATCAGAAACAGAAGTGTATGAGCATCTACTTAATTAACCTCTTAACAGCAGATTTTTTGTTGACTTTGGCACTGCCAGTAAAGATTATTGTTGACCTAGGAGTTGCGTCCTGGAAACTGAGAATATTCCACTGTCAAGTTACAGCCTGTTTCATCTACCTGAACATGTATTTATCTATTATATTTCTGGGATTTGTAAGCATGGACCGTTGTCTTCAGCTAATGCACAGTTGTAAGACATACCGCATTCAGGAGCCTGGATTTGCCAAGATGTTGTCTGCAGTCATATGGACAATGGTTCTCCTTATAACAGTACCTAACATGGCTATTCCAATAAAAAACATTGAAGAACAACCTGGTGCAGGATGCATTGATTTTAAAACAAAATTTGGAAGAGACTGGCACGTGTTTACTAATTTCATATGCACAGCGATATTCCTGAATTTTTCAGCTGTGATACTGATTTCCAATTTCATTGTTGTTCGACAGCTCTACCAGAACAAATACAGTGAGAGTTATGCAAACGTGAAGAAAGCCCTCATAAACATACTCCTGGTAACTGCAAGCTACCTGCTATGTTTTGTGCCATACCACATTGTTCGTATCCCCTATACTTTGAGCCAAAGTGATACCAATACCAGCTGCTCTCTGAAACAAGCTCTCTTTAAAGCTAAAGAATCTACCTTGCTGTTTGCCATATCAAACCTCTGTTTTGACCCTATCCTGTATTACCATCTTTCCAAATCATTCAGACTGAAATTCACTGAAACTTTTGGCACAGCTAAAGAGACACAGGTTTTCACAGACAAAGAGGTACAACACAGAAGTGAGCAGCAGATACAAAAGTACCAATTTTAAAATACATCAGAGGAGTGTTCAGATCTACAGTACAAACAGCTGAGGTGCAATTGCAAGCATGGTTACCATGGGAAATGACTTTCCTGCTGAAACATGAGCCCAAGCAGAAGGAAAAAACTTGAACCATACCTACTACTTTGTTATACATTCACACAGCAGGTCTGGACTAACAGAATCTCAATAAAGCCCTTCAGAAACAGTTCAAAATGCCAGTGATGCCCTTCCAGGGATCAGCAACACTTAAGAACATAAGAAATCAGACAAATTCAAACGTACCTTGTAAATATTTGTGGTAAATACCTGAGCTCACCTTTTCTAAGTTAAGTATTGTATAGTTACTATATTAACCAACTTGGTGCAATCGAATGAAGAAAGTAATTTAAAGCAGTTCTTCAGCTGCAAAGTTTTCATATATACACTTAACCCAAAAGCATTTTAAAGGGCATTATTTACTCCAGAAAGTGATTTTAAGCGGCATTGACTGAAAGTTGTTGTATCTGCTTATGTCATACCTGCAGTTTTTATAAATAAATTTCTTATTGCCAAGTTGCATTGCCTTTCCTTGCTGCTGCTTCAATGAATATGAAGAAAGCAAACAACATGTTACTACAGAAAAGTCAAGGAAATTTTAAAAATTAATACAAAAAGTATAAATAGCCAGTATATTCTCTCTCCTTGTTTTTTTATAAAAACAGAAGAAACGGCAACTAAGTTTATTAATATTCTAATTGACAATTACTTCCAATAATAATGCCTATACAGAATAAACAAAATCTTAAAATTCATTTGCATAGGTAAAATCCAGCTACCTGGATTACCTTCATGCATAAATCAAAAATATTTCAGGAACAAACCCAAACCAAGTTATCTTTTTCCTAATCCTTAAAATGGGCAAAATATGAATCAAACTTTAAGCAAGCACCCAAACTCTCCTGAACAGAAATAGCTCATTCAACATTCTACCAACAATTCACATGCAATAAATCAAAACGCAAACTTTGTGGAGTAAGAAATTTAATGCAAACAAAACTGTGGTTATCACATTGTACTCTCACATGACACTTCCCATATTAAAAAGGATTTAATATTGTTAAAAAGTTATTATTGTTGTTAAAAATAATAACCATAAATAATAATGATGATTATAATAATAACAACAACAATAATAATTCTCAAGTAGCTACATTCCAGGTCAGGTCTTGTTCAGTATGTGGGCCCTCTTTCCTGCATGGTGGAAAACATGAGAAGCCATCTGACTGACGGTTTGGGATCTGGAATGTTATTCATGGGGTTTTCTTCAGTTCCCATGAGCCTACAGACAAATACCACAGCAGCAGCCAAAAATCCATGCTAGAAACAGCACAGAGTGGGTGGAATAACACTGTTCTGTCCTGTATATTTCAGAACTGTTTTTTTCCAGCTATTTTGCTATTCTCCCATCAGTCCAACTATAATATTAATTTTTCTGTTTAGGAAACTTTTATTGCATCCCAGAACATGGCATTTTTATTGTGTTGCTGGTCTCCTTAACCCAAGTAAGTCATCACACAGTATTACACCTCTTGTGTGCTCATCCGACTAACCTTTTGGTAAACCACACACATGTGCTTCACTGAAGCTATCCCACAGTGCACAGCATGTGCACGCTAGCAGTAATAGCATCACACAAGCTGGTCAGGAGCCCTTGAGCAGGGACCACACATCCCAGCTCTCTTCAGTCAGTGAGCTTTTCTTTCTTTGAATGCTTTGCTGTCACACTAGGCACTACCATTACACACACAAGTACACAGATAACTCACCAGAGGTATAGGGAAATGTGTTGCATATTGCAAATGCCGAAGGAGGTCATAATTGGATGGGAAAATGAGTTCTCTCAGCCTTTCTCTCTTGACTGATTTCTCGCTGGTAACTGAAATTCTTCTGTCTAAGGAAGAGTTCACATTCTCACAAGACTCCCCAGGCATCGGAGAAAAAATCTAAGTCATGTAAAACAAATGTTTAAGGTAAGTGTAACCTCTAGCTTTCAAAATTAAGCAACTGCATTCAGAGATAGATACAATTCTGTTCTTGCTTACAATCACTTTTTAAACATCTGAGGTTTTTCAAGGATAGACAAAACAAGGGGCAATCGTAATCAAGCCTGAAATTGATGATACATATACACATTACATCTGTCTGCATATCTCCATTGTTATTAGAAGAGTTTTAAACTAATGATACTCAGGGAAAAAAGCATAACAGTTCATAGCAATCTCCACATCTCTCATGCTGCTGTGACACAGAAACAGCGATGACCTATTCCAGTGGCTGAAGGAAAATAATGAAAAAGGATGGAGTGGAAGGTGACATAACACACTGTCAGCAGGCATAGATATGCTTTAAAGCACTGCTATGACAAATACAGGGGTCCCAATATCCTGCAAGTGGATTGCACTGAAAGGTCTGGGCACAGGAGTCCATGCAGATGCAGTATTAGGACCAGTCCAAAGGAAGAAACTAGGAGATTCAAAAGTAATGCAGAATTGGGCTATCAGTGAGGAAAAAGAAAGGGGAGACAGAGACAAAACATAGAACTATCACTTGAAAAGCAAACGGTATCAATGGAGCTTCTCAGTGTCACAGAAGTGGGTAGCTTTGCATATTTATTCATGTTTAACAATAATACACAGCACTTTGAACATGCTGAGGGTAAAGGAAAGAAGGGAAGGAGTACGTTGTGCACACATGTGTGCAGGTGGACAACTAGGGGAAGCACAGGAGAGCAGTAAGTTGTCATACAGCAGAGATGAGAGAAAGGAGGCAATGCACCAACACAGAAGACAGAAGAGACTGCATGCTGAAAGATATGGTTGTCAATGGAGCCACCAGGCAGTACTAGGGGCATGGCAAGACATTCAGTGGCAACAGCAAGCAGCAGGCACAGGCAAAGGCATGCAGAAAAAAAGAAGTTAAACCTACTGGAAATTCCGAACCAAAATCTGCCTTAAAGTCACTCTTGTCTACATCATCAAAAATACTAGCGGTTCCTGAATCAATGCCCATATGTTCCATAATACTATGATCCTAGTAATTGCCAGAGAGAAAAATAAGTATCAGTCACATTTTATTGAAGACCCTTTTAACTGATGTCAGGTAAACTCAAGCACTTCACCTATTTAAGAATTAAGAAAAAAGCATTAATGGCAAGAAGGTTTCAGACACTGACTTTTAAATCTTTATGACAAGCCTTAATTCACAGAAGTATTTCTCTACCAAAATTCACAAAAGCATAGAATATGGCATGAGTCAAAGGGGGAAACAAAACTTTACAGGACATCCCCATGAGCAATTCTGTCCTACAGAACAGGAGGCTGACTCTTGTACCCTCCCAAGATTTACTTCCTGCTTTGTTGTACCACAAAAAGCAACTTGTAGAAACTCCCTATATTTCAGGGCAAATTTGGTCATGACAGTGATGTAAGAAATATACAGAAGAAATTAAAAAGACATGTAAAAGGATGCTTTTGCTTCCTACAGGCCCCACATGGACTGTGCAGCAGAACAACAGGCTGCATCTCATCACATGAGAACAAACGTGGTTTGCAGCCCAAGTTTAAAATTGCCTTCCTCTTGCAGTAGTCTTAGAAAAGGTTACAAACTGCTCATCTGATGGAAGACTCAGGATTGCCCCTGAACAGCACACATACAAGTCAGGAGGTCTGGCTTCCCAGTCTTCAGTTAGTGGCTGTGTGGCACACAGTAACTCCTGATCACCTGTGAGCAGACTACAAGGCTGTGCATCACTCATGCCTGTACTGTGCCAGCACACCCCACACTACACAGAGGATACGGGCTTACTCCATGCTCCTCACAGACTCCTCCTGCTTAAAGCTCTCCCTTCTCTGCATTGAAGCATATCTGCAAATGAAGTCTACATTGTGCCTTTTTGTTTGTCCCAAGTTATTCAGATCATTAGACAACTCTCAGTTCAGTGTATTTGCACCACAACAGTAATATTTACAGATATATGCAAGAATTAAGACAATAGATCACTCTTCTCAAAGAGAGAGAAAGAGACAAGGAGACACAGATTAAAAAAATTAGTATCTCATACCTGAAATACTAATGATTCAGTGAAAATCTAAGTTTAAGGAAACAGTACCAAACATGGGAGAAAGAGCATGAACTGTTACCTCCAGTTTCACATCATGATCCTTAGAATAGTGTTCATCCACAGTTTCCCCATTTGGTGAACGTGGTCTAGTAGTTGCAGTGATTGACAAGTCTCCACGTGATATTAAAGTGCACATGTAAGCATCATGGGAGAAAACATCATGACGAGTGAATTCAGAAAAAAGCAGCACCAAATTCACAAACTCTGTCTTCTCATGGTCACTATTTGGGTCAGCTACCCAAAAAAAAGAAAAAAAGTTAGACCATAGTTTCAACTTACAAATATTTGGGTTCCAACTATGCAAATTGCAAACCCCTACAAATCAATTTTAAGGCCTGCTAAAAATGTAAGTCTCAGGCATCCTGCAGAGGTTTCTTTGTCTCCACTGAATAAACCATCTCCTAACTTGCATGGTTTTGCTTTGCTATCAGTTCCAGAAAAGGGGCAGACTTCAGGCAGCAGTAGATTCCAGAGCATCCTATCCCACGGACATCTTGGGGGGGGAGGGTGTATCAGCAGTTAGGGATAATGTTCAAATACTTCTAAAAATTAAAAAGAGGGAGAGGACATTCCTTATGTGAAGAAAAACTGAATCTGAAGCTTTGAATTATAACAGACTACCTAACAGTTATCCTTTCCTCCCAAATTATATTACTCTAGCAAGTGCGATTGTTTTATCTATAGTACTTTTGTATTCATAACAGAAAACCTTTAAGAATATTTTCAGAGAACTCAAGACTTCTGCATGCCAGGCCTCCGAGATTTAAAAGCAGTATTTTATTAATGCTTGAAAGCATAGTGTATTTTATCTAACAAACATACTCATGCACATCAGGAAAAAGTTCATTAAAATAAATGCATGTTATTTTGTCAGTGCCAAAGCAAACCTAGAGAAACACAATATACAAGATTTTGTTACTAAGTTTTCATTTCTCATGGCTATATTTAATTTCACTTGTTCTGTAACACAGAAGGGTTTCAACACTGCAGTTAACAGCAAATAGCTTTATACCACACCAGCTCTATTGGGCAACAAAACCTCCAGCTACAGAACTACCAAATCCAAATAATCAATATTTATTTAAAAGCAAATTACGCTTTACAAGTCTGAATTAGTTCAATATATAACACTATTTTTATTTAGAAACTCTCATCACAGTGCAGCACAGAAGCTGCAGCAGTAAGCCCAAGAGCACACTGAGCCAGGGTCAGAACTCTCCTCTGTGGCATACAGGTCCCACTCCTGCAAAGCTGCCCACCATGATACACCCCCAAAAGTAAGGTGTGTGGCATGGAGAAGCATTGTAAAACACAAACCTGCAGAATAGGCCACCTGCTCTCCTTCAAAATATAGCAGTCACATGCTTTTTATTTGTAGAGACACAGAAGCTCAACC